GAACTTGAATCCACGTATTTGTCTCAGTAAATACTAGAGTGAGTCTGCATGGTTTAAACATAATCTTCATTGTAAGCGTGAGTACATGTTGGTAGGGAAAACTTGCCAGGGTTGTGATGTCCAGTGTCCTCCATACAAAATGGCAGTTAGGGGAACCGTCTTTCTTTGACAACCTCCCTTCTCTTCTCCCAGTTTAGCAAGTTGTGTCTTTCTTATTCTTGATTGCTCCTATCAGACTCACTCCTTCCAATGTTAGCCTCATCTCTTCTTGCACCTTCTCTGTAATGAGACAGGGTTCCCTCAGAGCCCAGGAGTGAGCAATCTGTTCTGGAAGGAGGATCCATGAGTGGGCAGCAGTATGAGGGGCTTCTGCTGGGAAGAGCAGGTGTGGACAGAAGGCAGGGTGGGGGCTTCGGGTCAGGAGGTGTGAAGAGGCTCAGAATAGGCAAACTGGCACATCGTAAATGGGGAGTTGACTGGAAAGAGCAGAGCAAGCATGTCAAACTCGCAGCCCGCAGGCTACATGCCTCATTCATTTGGCCTGTGTTAGCCTTTGAGTTTGACATGCTTGGAGTAGAGACACTGACAATGCTCACTCCAGAATCCCAGGTGACCCACAAGGCTGAACAATTCCCATAAATAGTGGGCACCTTGGAGTTGGGCGATTCAGCCCACAGAGGAGAACTCCCAGAGTGGCTGAGCTACATGCCCACAGTCACTAACGATCATTATTTCGGTATACCACCTCCTTTCAGTAAATTCGATCTATACACACTTACATTTGTAAGATATAAATTAGGGCATACTTAATCACATTACTAAAGGATTCCTCCCAGAATTTCTTCAGCTAAGTGGTTCCTCTAGTACCTTTTCAATTGAGTCCAATAGAGAAAATTTCATTAACACACAATGCACCAAGGTAGAAGGGAGGCAACAGGAAATAAAGAAACGAAGGGCCAGGACCTGGAAGGCCTGAGTGTGAGTCCTGTCTGTTCTCTTACAGCCCATCCCTCACCTATAACGTGCTTGGGGTCCACCCCTTACCTGTAAAGTGAGGACTAATTCTGGGCCACCCCCAATGCCATGACTTTTTAAAAATATATATTTTATTGGTTTCAGAGAGGAAGGGAGAGGGAGAGAGAGATAGAAACATCAATGATGAGAATTATTGATCAGCTGCCTCCTGCACGCCCATACTGGGTATCGAGCCCACATCCTGGACGTGTGCCCTGACCTGGAATCAAACATCAAACCGTCACCTCCTGGTTAATAGGTCGATGCTCAACCACTAAGCCATGCTGCTTGGTGACTTTTTTTTTTTTTAAATACTCACCTGAGGGGGTGGGGGGGGGAATACTCACCTGAGGACATGCTTAGAGAGAGGAAGGGAGAAAAAGAGAGTGAGAGAAACATTGATGTGAGAGAGAAACATCAATTGGTTGCCTACTATACATGCTGCAACCCACCCACCCCACCACCACCCCCCATCTCAGATATGTGCCCTGACCGGGAATTGAACCAGCAACCTTTTGGTGCACAGGACAACGCTCAACCACCTGAGCCACTCTGGCCAGGCACCAATGCCATGACTTTTAAACTTTGATCCACCTCCACCCAATTCTATAAAGCAAGATAGACCCGTGTACGAGAAGTCTTCTCACCCTCTAGCTCTGCTGAAAACAGCCCAAAGGCCAGCAAGCCCCTCGGCCTCAGGAGCCCCACCGGGCACCCTCTGTCCTGGGTTGTCTGGTGCTTCTTCCATTTCACTCTACTCTCCAGCCACATTCAGTGCTTCAACCACATCCTCGCTCTGCTCAGAGTGTTCTAAGGTCCCATCTCCTTTGAATTTATAGGCATTGTTCTAGCCCGGCTGGCATGGCTCAGTGACTAAGCGTTGACCTATGAACCAGGAGGCCACGGTTTGATTCCCGGTCAGGGCACATGCCCGGGTTGTGGGCTCAATCCCCAGTGTGGGGCGTGCAGGAGGCAGCCAATCAGTGATTCTCTCTCATCATTGATGTTTCTCTCACCCCCTCCCTTCCTCTCTGAAATCAATAAAAGTATATTTTTAAAAAGGAATCGTTATAATCTACCATGTCAGCCTCCCTGCTCCATTAATCTCATATCCTCAACCATCTCCTGTTTCCCATCATGCTTCCTCCCCCACCTTTGAGCTTTTACCCAAGAAGTCTCATGCTCTCACTCAAGGAAACTTCCCAGATGTGTTGACCCCAGGGCTGCCCACCCAGCTGTACAGTTTGTGGGCTGCACAAAGGCACCCACTGAGGGGGCAAGTTGAGAACTGAGCTGCATTTTGCTTGGCACTTCTTGCACCGTGGTTCAGAGCTGTGTCTACTGGAGGGATTCCTATTATTATTATTATTATTACCCAAAAGTACCACTTGATCTCCAAGCTCCATGCCATACATGAGGAACGCATCTGCTGAGAGAGGTCTGTTCCAAGGTTCTTCACACACCAGCAATATGGCCCCAGCTGTGCCCCCCTGCCCTCAATATTCTCCATTTCCAACCCCAGCTTCCCATCATCACAACTGTACTGACATATTTCATTGGTTCCTTGTGAAATTGCTTTCTTTATCTCACAATATCTGAAAGCTGAGATCTCACCCATTTTTCTGAATCCTGGGGTACCTGAGAAAGCTATTTTCCTCTCACTGTGGTCAAGCTCAGTGGTGAACAGGAATTGAGGTTAGAGAGCAGGTAACGCCCAGGACCTACAGGATCAGTAAATCAGGGAGGGGGTTGTAGCCCCTTCCTTGTCCACGAGGCCAGACCCAGGGCAGCCCGGACTGAGGCAGGGACTGGCTGGTCCTCCTTCTGGAAGGTCCTGCCAGCCCTGTGATGTCCCCCTCCAGGAAATGGGGCCAGTTCTATGCAAATGCGTTCTTGCCCAGGAGTTTGGTTTCTTCTCTCCCAGCTCCTGGCACAGTGGAACCAACATGAGCGGCCGCTTGGCAGGACAGAGAGAAGCAGGCTAGCAGTCCCAAGGCTCAGGTGACAGGGCCCGGCCCAGGAGACGGGGATGTTGACTGGGGCTTTAACAGCCCTCCTGATGCCAATCTCAGCCGAAAACTCGATATTTCCACTTGGAACAAGAAACACCAGCAGAGGGCTGGGGAGAGAAGGGCCATGTACCAGGAGTGCCCCCTGCAGGTCTCACTGGGTTGCACCAGAACAGAGGAAGGCGGCACAGGATGGGTGGAGCTCTAGGAGATGCCTGGGATGGTAAGGATCATGACCGGGAGGAGGAGGAAGAGGGAGCAAGAATTTACTGAGTATTTACAATGTGCCAGGCATTGCCTCACATAATCCTCATGACAACCCCAAGGGATGGATAACGTTGTTTTCATATCTTAGGTGAAGAAACTGTTTAGAGAGGTGAAGCAACTTGCTCAAAGTCACCCAGTTGGTAGTGGACAGCTTTGGGATTGAACCCAGTCACTGCCTCCAGAGAGTATATTATTTAGTACCATCTTTCCCATCTTGCCAGTTCATTCCAGGAACTTTCATCCTCTGGTGTCCATTTCTATCTCTTCCTGCTCTTCTTGTTGAAATCTGGAGAGTAGCCCGGCTGGCGTGGCTCAGTGATTGAACGTTAACCTATGAACCAGGAGGTCACAGTTTGATTCCTGGTCAGGGCACATGCCCAGGTTATGGGCTTGATCCCCTGTGCGGGGCATGCAGGAGGCAGCCAATCAATGATTCTCTCTCATCATTGATGTTTCTAGCTCTCTCTCCCTGTCCCTTCCTCTCTGAAATCAATTTTAAAAATATTTTTAAAAAAAGGAATCTGGAGAGCAGATTAATAATATCAATAATAACAATATCCAGTGTTTGTATACCACTCTCTGCTTTTAATTATTTCCCTGGAGAAAATAAACATTGAGGTATTTCTATTTCTCCAAAGTCTTTCTTTGTTTTAATCTGTATTCCTACAGCTATTTCTGTACAGTTATCATCAACTTATAAGAATTTTCTATGTAAGAGTGTGCCTATAGGCACATTTACATATATAAAATAGTAACCAATTATATTGATATGCCACCAATATTATTGAGGCAGTGTAACTTTGTGAAAATAGCATGGGAGGGGGTGGCACAGGTGTGTGTTTGACTATCATCTCTGCCGTTATCCAAACTCTGTGACATGTGGTAAATCACTCACCTTTTCTCAGTTTTACTTTTTAGTTTTTCATTTAAAAATGAAGCAAATAATACTTACCTCATTGGGTATCTCACAGGGTTCTTAAATGAGGTATGTATCTACTTCATAGCTGATGCTCAACAAGTGATTAGCAGTAGTGTTAGTACTATGCGTGGACGCGTCTATCTCCCCCTGGGACCAGGAGCTGTCCTAGGTAGAGACGTTGATTTCTGTAACCAACCCCACCTAGCACAGTTCTTGGCACTTGGACTCCATAAACGTTTGCTGAATGAGTAGTTAGTAAGCCCTAACCTAGCCGTTTCTCGCGGTTGGACATCTGAATTGTTTCTAGACTTTCTAACAGAATTAACTTCAAAGGCCTGTGTATCTATTGCCTCATTCGGTCTGCACGCCTGTGAAGCAGGGGAAAGGCCCACACCCTGTGAGAGATGGAACAGCTGTGGCTCGGGAAGGGAGCGGACTCCTATGGGCCACATCACAACTTAGTAACAAAGGTTAGAGCCCCTGGCCCAGCTCCCCTTCCTTGGGGGAGCTCTTTCCCTCTCGCTCTCTCTTTCTGGATCACGGGGGCCTCTCCAGAAATAGACTGTGATGCTTGGCCTGACCTGAGAGCAGCAGGAGGCCCCTTGGAAGTGATGAGCTGCCGGCTCCCACACGGCCCTTTGAGTCCCCAGGAAATCAAACACCTTATTCCCAAACGCGTCAGGGCCTGCGCTTTCCCAGAGCAAGGATCTTCCCAGGAAAGAGCAAGCGTGCAGCTTTTTCCTTTTTCTTTCTTTTTCTTTCCTGAGGGGGTGAGAAGGCAAAGCTCTGAGCTGTCCAAGAGGAGGGACTTTGGCTAAAAATAACCACGGCGTGTGGCTCAGCCTCTAGTGGTACCCAGGACTGGGGAGGGAAGGGGGATGCTCTAGAGCTGTCGCCAGACTGGTTGCTGTGGAAACAGGAGAGGAGCAGGGGAGCCTGGGAAGTGGGTATGACACAGATAGCAAGTCCTAGTCAGAGCTGCCGCTACATTTAGGAGAAACAGCGTGTCCTCGGTGGCTCTCACCCTCCAAGGGGACGGGTGTGGGGCCGTCTCAGGGGCATGGACGCTCCCCTCCAGGGGTCTTTGCTGCCCGCTGCTTTCCTCTCCACGGACTGTGAGTTGAGTTGCAGGGAGGGGAGGAGGGTTGGGCCCCTATTTCCATGGCAAGTGGGGGTTTGGGGAGAGCTGATTCCTGAGGGAGTTTTTCACCAGATCTCCTTCCAAAATATAAGCCTCCTTGCTGGCGAGCACTTCCTAGGGGAAGAAAGCAAGATCCAGGAAGATGTGGAAAGGGGTCAGGGTATGCACGAAAACTAAGAAGCAGTAGGCTGGAGGAGCAAGACGCTGGAGAGAAGGTACAGAAACCAGGTCTAAACCAGAGCACCTGGGACAGAGGGAATAATTCCACACCTGTCCTTCCCCACTGAGAATGCAGCCCACTCGGGACAGCAGGAAAGGGGACCCCATCAAAGGAAGGCTCACCTAGATCCCTGGGCAAAGGGAGTGAGAGTTCTGGGGGATCACTCTGGGGCTCCTTCCCCACCCCTGGGCTGAGAGGTCGGTCCCAGCAGGCCAGCTGGGGGTCAGATTACCTGAGAGAACACCTGGCCGTCCCCCTGAAGCTGGAATGAGTGGGGCTCCCGTACCTGTCTGTATGCGCTGGGGTCTGTGAGCAGCCAGGGCTTAGAGACCACTTCCTGCGGGCATCCTGGGCTGAGGGATGGGAAGGGAAGCCCATTGTTGGGGGAGGGGAAGACCCTGATCTGCCATTGCATCGGGGCTCCTAGACCCTGTGTCCCCTGACTCCTCCTGGAAAATAAAATTGGGGGTTCCCTAAGCTCTAAGACACCTTGTGTTCGTTTCTCCTCTTGTGCCAACACACACACACACACACACACACACACACACACACACACACACACACACACACACACTCACACACACTCACGGCCTCCAGAGGTCTAGCTGCAGAGTTCCTCACTCCAGACCTTAAACTCTGGAGCGCTGGGTTTGGGGTTACATATCCAGGCTGCTTCTCCCCGGGGCCTGGGCGAGCATGCAGGCACCTGTGATCCTCATGCCACACTCCTCCCTCCAGACCCACCCCGGCAGCTCCGGTTTCCTTGAAGTGGGGGCAAAGGATGATCCCAGGAAGAAAGGCCGATGGAGAAGTCTCCAATCCTCATTCTAAGCCTTTCCTTGTGGGGTTCACATCTCCTGGGGGCCTGGGGGGGCCTGGACCGCGCTCTCAGGGCAGATTACAGCTCAGAGAGCTCCTTCCAGGGCAAGAATTTGAGGCAAAGTCAGGTGGAATGTGAGCTTTGGAGCAGGGGGGGGGCGGGGTGTGTCTGTGAGGACAGTCAGTGGGAGGTAGGGTGTTGTGGGAAGGAAATGGAGGGGAGGGGGAGTAAATGTGGGTGCTCAGTGTTCACCGGCCCTGATTTGTTACATCTCACGGAGAACAGGAGAGCAGAGGGATGCAAGCCTAACTCCCGGTGAGCTTGGTGCTCCCTCTGCCCCAGCGTCTGTGCGGATGATGGCATGTCCTTGGGTCCTCGGCCCATTCCAGGCTGTCCCCGCTGTGGAAAGAACCCGGGAAAACGGTTATTCTACAGTAACAACGGGCATGGTTAGGGCGCAGGGAGGTTTCCAGCGGGGATTTCCTGGTGTGGGGGTTTTCAACCCTTGCCCTGGAGACTGTCCCCTACTCTCGGCCACTTCCCTTTCTCCTTTGTAAGCTTGTTGAGAGGATAAGATGTGGTGGGGGTGGAGCGCGTGAGTGAGGTCCAGGGAGGCAGGAACTGGCAGGACTTTCTGTGTCCGTCTTGAGGTGAACTTCAGACGACCTGGGTGTGGTTAGACCGTCAGGGTGAATTGCGGGGACAGAGATTAGGGCACTGGCCTGACAACAGCTAGGGAGGGGGTGCAGCAGAGCAGCAGTTTCCAACCCAGATGCCAGGGCACACCGCAGTCTTAAGATGCAACATTCAACTATGTACTCAGGAGCACTGACCTCTTTTCCCTTAGATTGTCCAATTAAAAAACTACAACAGCCAACCCAACAATAGCCATCCGGTGTGAATGAGTCAAAACTATACCTATTTTTCTGTCAGAAGAAGTTCCGGTGTGCCGCAGAATTTTGGTAATTAGCTTCTGTGTGCCACAGGATGAAAAAGGTTGAAAATCGCTGCTGGAGAGGAAGATTAACTGCCCAAGGAGCCATGGAGGCCACGGGCTAATGATACCAGGAGTCTGCTCCCCTGCCTGGGCCTTTCGCCCTGGGAGGCCCTGGAGTGCTGCACACCCTGGTCAGAGGTGGAGGGCCACGATCTCGGCACCGCCTCCCCCTGGAAATAATCATCACACTTGGATAGTGCCGTCCCATTTGATCCTCATGATTCTGTGAGCTGGGGGAGCAGCGAGGGTTGTATGTATTGTCCCATTCTACTGATGTGGAGACTGAGGCCAAGAAGCAGGAAGGGCCAGGCCAGCGTGGCTCAGTGGTTGAGTGTCAACCTATGAATCAGAAGGTCATGGTTCCAACCAGAAGGTCATGGGCCGTCCCTCCTCCCACCCTCCATCAGGGCACATGCCTGGGTCTCAGGCTCCATCTCCAGTAAGAGGTGTGCAGGAGACAGCTGATCAATCATTCTCTCTCACCATTGATATTTCTCCCTCTCTCTCTCTCTCTCTCCCTCTCTCTCCCTTCATCTCTGAAATAAATAAAAATATATTTTGATATATTTTGGAAGGAGGGAAGGAAGGAAGGAAAGAAGGAAGGAAGGGAGGGAGGGAGGGACGGAGGGAGGGAACTGAGGGGAGGGGAGGGGAATGGAGGGGAGGGGAGGGAAAAGGAGGGGAGGGGAGGGGAATGGAGGGGAGGGGAGGGGAATGGAGGGGAGTGGAGGCAAGAGGAGGGGAGTGGAGGAAAAGACAGGCAGGAGGGCTTCCCTCTGGGCACCCAGCCCCGGCTGTCGCTGCCCCTCCGTGGCCCGGTTAACTCGGTCCATCTTTAAGTGCCTGCAGGAGCCGCGACGCTACCGAGAGGCGGCGGACCGCGGCGGTGCGGACCCCGGCGGCGCGCGTGGGGGCGCTGACCCCGACCCCAACGCTGCGGGGGCCATGGCGCAGGAGAACGCCGCCTTCTCGCCGGGCCCCGAGGAGCCGCCCCGACGGCGCGGCCGCCAGCGCTACGTGGAGAAGGACGGGCGGTGCAACGTGCAGCAGGGCCACGCGGGCGAGACGTACCGCTACCTGACCGACCTGTTCACCACGCTGGTGGACCTGCAGTGGCGCCTCAGCCTGCTCTTCTTCGTGCTGGCCTACGCGCTCACCTGGCTCTTCTTCGGCGCCATCTGGTGGCTCATCGCCTACGGCCGCGGCGACCTGGAGCACCTGGAGGACGCGGCCTGGACGCCCTGCGTCAACAACCTCAACGGCTTCGTGGCCGCCTTCCTCTTCTCCATCGAGACGGAGACCACCATCGGCTACGGGCACCGCGTCATCACCGACCAGTGCCCCGAGGGCATCGTGCTGCTGCTGCTGCAGGCCATCCTGGGCTCCATGGTGAACGCCTTCATGGTGGGCTGCATGTTCGTCAAGATCTCGCAGCCCAACAAGCGCGCCGCCACGCTCGTCTTCTCGTCCCACGCCGTGGTGTCCCTGCGCGACGGCCGCCTCTGCCTCATGTTCCGCGTGGGCGACCTGCGCTCCTCGCACATCGTGGAGGCCTCCATCCGCGCCAAGCTCATCCGCTCGCGCCAGACGCAGGAGGGCGAGTTCATCCCGCTGCACCAGACCGACCTGAGCGTGGGCTTCGACACGGGCGACGACCGCCTCTTCCTGGTCTCGCCGCTCGTCATCAGCCACGAGATCGACGCCGCCAGCCCCTTCTGGGAGGCGTCGCGCCGCGCGCTCGAGAGGGACGACTTCGAGATCGTGGTGATCCTCGAGGGCATGGTGGAAGCCACGGGTGCGCGGGCAGGCGGCGGGCGGGGCGGGGCGGGGCGGGGCCGGGGAGGGGTTAGACCGAGAGGCTGGTGGGGGGTGAGAATACGGAGAGACAGGGGGACCTCGGTTGGCCAGGGCATGTAAGCAGAGTTACCCCAACGAGAAGCCGGGAGATCCCCGAAGCGGCCCTGGCGGAGGGGTCTGCCCTTGGGCTCAAGGAGAGGGCTGTGATCAGTGCTTCTCTGTCCTGCGGCTCCCACGCAATTGACACCTCCGAGTTCATTCAATCTTAACGAGCACCTCTCCAAGGAAACTTGTTATTGTGCTCGTGTTTCAGAGGTGATTGCCCAACGGAAGGTTAAGCAAGTCGTCTGCAGCCACAGGCTATTCAGCGTGTTTAGTGCTACAGGTTGGAAGGGGGCGGGTCTGAGAGTCTCGCCCAGGCCCCTGGAATTTGGTGGTGAGGGTGTTCCCTGACCTGAGTTAGGCTGGCCCAGGCTGGCCTTTAACGAAAGGTTGACACCTGGTCTCACTTCTGCCTCAGTTTCCCCATCCATCCAAAGAGTCTCAACTTCCACCGACAAAGGAAATAGGTGCTCTTAGCATTTCTGGTGGCTCCCGGGAGGACTGGCAGCGCCCTGTGATGTCAGTGCCCCCAACTCAGGCTGCACAGTGAAGGCCCTGGAGGAAGGCAGGAGAAGGTCAGCGCCCGCAGCGGGGAGGCCCTTCGGGGCTTGAGGTCTCCAAGCGGGAGGCGGCTTCGAGAACTGCAGGTGGATGGCCGAAGGTTCCGGCCACTGTTGTCAGAGCTTTTGCACTCTGCCGGCTTCTCCCACAAGCCTCTTCCTGGCCCCTTCAAGCTGATCCTCTACCCACACCCTCTGCCTCGTGTTCCCCTTTTCTTCTTAACCACCCCCGGGGCCCCCTAGCTCTCTCCCTCCCCACTCACCCCACCCCCTTTTCTCTCTATCCCTCCAGCTCTGTTTTGCCAGTACCGGAGGCCGCCCCTCCCCTACAAGGATGTTCCTGCCCATCCCTCTTCTCCCTGTGCACCCAGTCCCTCCCTCTCTCCGTCTCAGCCCCCTGTCCCCAGGGTCCCTTTGGCCTCTTCTTCTCCCTCACTGGAAGCTTCCTATCCCCGCCTTCATCAAGGGAAGGAAGGCTGCAGTGACCCTGAGGTGTCCGTGTGGGGCTTGCCCTGGTGAGAGCCAGTCTGGTCAGCTGGTGTTCACCCTGCCCCCTTGTTCGGAGGTGCAGGTGGGCTGAGGTGGAAAGGAGAGGCCCCGGGGGAGGAGAACCGCTTGCCCTAGGGGTGTGCCCACCCAAGAGGGAGGACCGGACACAGGCCCAGGGCCAGGAGGGTGGGGTGGAGAAGATAGGGATGGACCTTGTCTGACTTCTGGAGCGGCAAAACTAGAAAGGATGGTATTATTTTGAGTGTGAGAGTCAGGATCCAAAATGCTTTTGAAAAGCAAGAATAATGAGCCCAAATCCAACAAGATGACATTTAAAAGGAGTAAATATAAAAATCTACATTTAGACTTTAAAAAAAATCACTTATGTAAGCACAGCATGGAAGAGCTCTGGTGAGAAAGAACTGGGGGTTTGAGTTGGCCACAGCAGTGTGATCCAGCTTCCAACGCGTTTATGTAATCTTGGGCCCTATTGGCTAGAGCACAGCGGTTCTCAACCTGTGGGTCGCGACCCTTTCACAGGGGTCGCCTAAGACCATCGGAAAACCCATATATAATCACATATTGTTTTTGTGATTAATCACTATGCTTTAATTATGTTCAATTTGTAACGATTAAATTGGGGGTCACCACAACATGAGGAACTGTATTAAAGGGTCGCGGCATTAGGAAGGTTGAGAACCACTGCTCTAGAGCATCATGGCCAGAAGAGAGCAGTGCGAAGCCCTCTCTCATGCAAGGATCAGGCCTCAATTGGATTCCTTATCAGAGAGTGCTTAATGGATCCTCCTTGGCCATTCTGGTTTACAGTCAAGAAAGTAAAATTTTGGAAACCCAGGTCGCATGAGCAGTGGTGACGGGGATGTTCAGCCTGAAGAAGAGAAGATGAGATGGAACCTCTTTCAGATACTTGAAGGGGTGTCATACGGGAGGAATGAAACCAAAGGGTGGCAATCCGGGAGGCAGATTTTAGCTCAACTATTACATCCATTGCGCAAAGGAGCGGGCACCTTGCAAGGTGGTGAGCTCTCGATTCTGGGAGGTAATTGAGTGCAAGCCAGATGCCCACAGTTGGGAATGCTCCAGTGGGAAGCCCTATATGGAGAGGGACGTTGGACAAGATGATCCCCAAGGTCAGTTTTAAGGTTAAGCTTCTCTGATTGGCATCCCCAGTGGAGAGGCAGGGAGAGAGCAGGTGGGAGATGAAGAGGGGCTGTACAAATGGACGAGAGATGAGAGAACTGAGCAAGTTCAGGAGTTGGGAAAGGGAGAAAAGTGGGCGGGACCAAAAGGGGGTGGGGCCCTCGGGGAGGGATATGAGGCAAGGTGTTGGGAATCAGGTCATGGAGTGAGAGGCAGGAGAGAGAAGCCTGGGGCTGGGATCCCTCAGGAATGACCCATGCCCTTCCCCCCAGGAATGACATGCCAAGCTCGGAGCTCCTACCTGGTGGACGAGGTACTGTGGGGCCACCGCTTCACATCAGTGCTGACCCTGGAGGACGGCTTCTACGAGGTGGACTATGCCAGCTTCCACCAGACTTTTGAGGTGCCCACACCCTCATGCAGTGCCCGGGAGCTGGCCGAGGCAGAGGCCCGCCTTGATGCCCATCTCTACTGGTCTATACCCAGCCGGCTGGATGAGAGGGTGGAGGAAGAGGGGGCAAGGGAGGGGGCAGGGGAGGAGGCAGAGGGAGAGGCGGGGGCTGACAAGGGGAAGAATGGCTGCCTGCCCCCGCCAGAGAGTGAGTCTAAAGTGTGACCAGCTTTGCAGACCCCGTGGCAGGATCAGACACAGGTACCTAGGGCGCTGGACAGTGGAGGTGGAGGAGTCCGGTGAGGTGCCTGGGAACGTGCTAAGGCTGGAGAGGCCCCTCAGAATCTCGAGTCCAGGATCCAATGTGGAAGGAGGCATCCTGATATTAAGAGAATGGAGGGCAGGGAGCGTGAACTTACCAGCCTCTCGTGTTTGACCTTCACATCTGCTCATGGGTGGATGGATGGACAGAAGGATGGACTTATGTGGATTGGATGGGAAGGTGGAAGCAGACAGGGAGACAGCTAGTGGATAGGTAAGAGGACCGACAGACAGGTGGTACACTCAGGGCTGCTGCTAACCCACTGAGCATCTTTGTACAAATTCTAAACAGGCACCCTTTTCCTCCAGACTGACACCACCCCAAACCAGGGTGAGTAGCCTGGGGCACAGAACGTGGGCTGGATCTTAGCCCGCACTCACCTCCTCAGCCTGCTTCCCTGTGCCTGGCACACCTGTCTCACCGGATACAGTAGCCCAGCTGACCCAGAGGAGAGAAAACTAGATGGAGGTGGGCAGAGCTGAGGAGGCTGCCCTCCCAGCTCCACCCCTACCCCTGTGGCAGGCTGAATGGGAGGATGAGGGGCCATAGGAGTGGCTCAGCAGGTGTGAATGACTTTGTCTGTTGCACAGGGAAGCAAAAAGTAGGGAGCTACCAGAGCTGGGGCCCTGGCAAAGGAGTGAAATGTCATAAACACCTTGGTGATGGTGGAGGGCAGAGAGGGGTTCTGAGGAGGAAGAGGGCCAGGGAGAGATTGAGGTGAGTTCACTAGAGCTGGGACACAGGGGCCCTTGGGAAAGCAGAATTAGTGAGAAGGAGTCACTCATACCATTCATAGGGTGCCCTTTGGGCTTAGAACACTGAACTGGACACATAGGGATGGACAGTCCGAGACCCATTTCCTATCTCGGAATATAGTGCGCCTGGGAAAAACAGAAATACTCCCATGGCATTTGTTTCAAACGGAGAGCCTGAGCAGTCTCTGGGCAGGGGTAGAAGGGTTTGGTAATCTGAAAGCTGGGGGTTGAGCAAGGCACGGAGAATGTCTAAGCCAGCCGTGGGCAAACTACGGCCCGCGGGCCGGATCCGGCCCATTTGAAATGAATAAAACTAAAAAAAAAAAAAGACCGTACCCTTTTATGTAATGATGTTTACTTTGAATTTATATTAGTTCACACAAACACTCCATCCATGCTTTTGTTCCGGTCCAGTTTAAGAACCCATTGTGGCCCTCGAGTCAAAAAGTTTGCCCACCCCTGGTCTAAGCCATCAGCTGTAATACTTGAGTGTGCATCAGCGTCACCTGAAGGGCTGTGGAAACTGGCTGTGGCCCCACTCCCAGAGCTTCTGACTCAATCGATCTGAGGCGGAGACCAAACATTTTCATGCCTAACAAGTTCCCAGGTCACGCTGACATGGCTGGAATGCAGACCACAGTTGGAGGGCTCCTGCTCTAAGCGAAGACCTGGAGATGGAGCACACAAGCTGAGGAGAAGCTGGGGGATCTTGGGGTGGAGACTGAGATATACAGAGTGGAATCTTGTGTGGGGAGAGGTACCCCGAAATCCAGGCTGATGAGTTTAACTCTGGGCCCAGGAACTCCCCCATCCATGGAAACTGGGAGTGACAGCTAGAGAGAGTGTTGGGGGAAGATAAGCAGGCATTTCAGATAGGAGGAGGCAGTGGCAGTCTTGAGGTGGGAGCTGCAGCAGGAAGTGGCAAGGAGGGGACCCCCTGGGCATTCTTACTTTCCCAGTAGCATCTTCGCTGTAAGCATTTTGGCCGCAAACATTTTCGCCACATACCTGATTGGCTATAAGGCAATTCTGCCATTAAAAAGAAGGAGACTCAAGGGCAGAGAGGATACATGGTGATGGAAAAAATAAAAGACTTTATTGCAAAATACAAGGTATTCGAGTACATTTTAAAAGGGTGCGGCCTCGCGGCAGTACTGCACAGGTCACTGATTTTATTTTGTGGTTGTACGTAACTACTTGGCTTAGTTCTGTGGGAAATGTGGGTTCCACGCTGCGCCTTCAAAGAGGGACCTTGGCCTCTCTTTCTGCTCTCAAGGTGGTGTCTTTCAAAGTAAGAAACCAACTTTGGGGGCAAATCATCGTTATCTGGAAGAAATGCTAATTATTTTTTAAAATATATTTAAAAAATAAAAAAATATATTTTTATTGATTTCAGAGAGGAAGAGGGAAGGACAGAGAGAGAAACATCAATGATGAGAGAGAATCATTAATCAGCTGCCTCCTGCACACCCCCTACTGGGGATTGAGCCCACAACTCAGGCATGTGCCCTTGACTGGAATTGAACTGGAGACCCTTCAGTCCGCAGGCCAACACTCTATCCACTGAGCCAAACCAGCTAGGGCTGAAATGCTAACTATTATAAGACCAGCATCCGTCTACTCGTCACTGAATAGACCACAATGGAAACTAGCTAAGATTTATATGCAATTTTAAAATGGGAGTACTGCAAGAACTTTATGAATGGAGAAATGAACCCAGAATGACAACTAGCTTAAATGAATGAAGTCTGCTGAAGGTGATTGGTTTGTCAATGGAAAAATGAAAACAAACAAACAAATACAAAAATACCCCAAACTGTCAAACAGTTACTTTATCCTGCTCACAGCAAAATTGCCTTCTGGCCAGTTAGTTATGCATTGAAAATGTTTCAGGCAAAAATGCTTGCAGCGAAGATGCTACAACGAACACACCAGATACATCCTTGTGGGATTAAATGTGGGAGAAAAGGTCAGAGAAGTGAGACATCCAATATCTGGCTGTGTCTGTGGCCTGCGGTCTGCCCAGCTGGGATGGGAGCCCCCGCAGGGCCATTCCCATTCCACATCTACCCTTCCTGGTTCATCCCAGTCTCCAAGGGCAGCCCCCCGGGATGGTGAGGGGAGAGCAATGGCCAAGTGGAGAAGCAGAGTTCCCGGGGACCTGAGGCTGGCCTCCTGAGAGGAAAGCGTGTGCCCCAGCAGGCATGCCTCTGACACTGGCCACACCCCTCTCCTGTCCCTCACTAAAAGTCTCGGGGAACCACAGTCTGCTCCAGTCCAGGCTGGGAGGCCGAGGCCCTGTGCCTCCTGGAAGCAGACATGTGGGTCCCGGGAGTCCATACCAGTTCAGGTCCACTCAGAAAGGATGTCTTCGCCGCAGGTCACAGGGCCACCTGAGCCAGCATCAATCACAGATGAGATCCTGGAAGCCTAGCGTCACCTGAAGAACAAATGTGGGGATGCAGGATGGGCTTAATTCCATGAGAAAGCTGGAGTCTGTGCGGGAGGCAGGGCTGTCTGTCCACACACACACTCACACGGTAGTTAATCCATTGCAATTGAATGGGCAGAGACACTGGGGCGGGATGGGAGGCACTGAGACCACCATACCGGTCCTCGCCACTCGGCACCGCTGGGTACAGTGCAAGGAGTCGGGAGACCTACGTCTAGTCCCGACACTGTCACTGATGAGTTCTATAACTCTGGGTAAGTCACATCCCTTCTCCCGGCCTCAGTTTCCCCATCTGTAAGAACAGCACTTAGCAAACTAGTAATGCTCAATAAATGTTTAAATAACTGAAATGGGAGACTGAAAGAAAATTATATACATATGTAATGATTTAAAAAAAAGAAAGAGTAGACTGTGCCCTTACGGTGCAGTGTAGCAAGAATCCTAAGATTAAAGATCCCTTCGGCAGAGGGTGAGGTAAGGCCTGGGGTGCCTGCAGGCTATGGGGCGGGTTGGTGCGGGGCTATGGACACACAGGCCTGCCCTGGCTGCTGTGTACCCACCGCCCAAGCAGGGCTGTGTTCTGGGGCTTCTTCTTCTTTTTTTATTGATTTCTGAGAGGAAGGGAGAGGGATAGAAACAATGATGAGAGAATCATTGACCGGCTGCCTCCTGCACACCCCACACTGGGGATTGAGCCCACAACCAGGGCATGTGCCCTGACCAGGAATCGAACCGACCTCCTGGTTCATAGGTTGACGCTCAACCACTGAGCCACACCGGCTGAGCCTGGGGCTTCTATTCTGCTGCTGTCACAGAATAATGAAGATCCCAGGAAACGTGCTGAGGCCCCAGGGCCCGTGGGAGGGGTCAGGTCCAGGACCAGTGGGACCAGCGGGACCAGCAGAATGAGAGTGCAGGCGCTGCCCGGAGCTCAGAGCTCAGACGGGGCACTGGCCCCTACAACCGAGGGGCCCCTCCCCTCTCTGTGCTTCCCTCCCTGAGTAGGAGTCCCAGGAGGAATTGGCAGCAGATGGGACCCAGGTGTCCCTTCCTGGGTGGGCGGCACAGCCCACGGAGGCCAGATGGTGTCTGTGGTGGGAGGAGACCTGGGTCACCCAGAATAGGCTGTCAGCCCCCGGCAACCTCCCTGCCACCCCCAGCCTCTCACAGCGCGATGCAGGGAAGACACGCCACGCCTGGATTTTATAAAACCAGTTTATTCACATCTTAGAAAAACTAACCAGGATGGGGAAGGCCTCCCTGCAGGCTGGGTGTGAGATACGGAACACAAAGCCAGAGGGAGGAATCGGGAGGCAGGAGTGGGGAGTGGAGGCCAGGCCCCCCACTGCGAGTGGGGGTAGGTCCAATAAATTAAAGAGCAGACAGAGGGAGAGGGTATCCGGGCAACCAGAGGTGGGCTTGGAGCTGGGCTGGAAGACAGTCAACACCTGTGAGACCTGCAGAGAAAGTGTGGAGTGGCTAAGGAGGGCCCTGGGGGGGCTCCCTCCCAGCCCTCACCCCGTGAATTCACAGGGTCCTGCAGAGAACTGTGAGCTGGCTCCTCCTCGGGGAAGCCGGGGTGGGGGGTGGGGGGGTAGGGGGGAGGCGGGGGGGGGGGGGGCAAGGAGCAAGCAGCTCCTAACAGGGCTTGAGAAGGCACGGCCGGGCTTCTTTCCCTCACCTGGGCCGGGGCCAGGGCTCATCGTTTTCGCAGCCTCTTCATGAAGCAGCAGGTGATGGTGCTAAGGATGGCGGCGCCGGTGACTAGGGCAACCGCTGCCCCCACCAGCAGGGGCATGAGCAGGGTGTCCCGGGCTGGGTGAGAGAGAATGGCTCAGCTTGGAGTGCCGCTGCCCCCCACACAGTCTCCCTGAAGTCCCAGCACCTTCTTTATCAAGCTGTCTGCACCTCCTCCCCAATCACAGCCAGCCCTCCCAGCCCACCCCCTGCCCTCTCTGCACTCAGCAACCTCCACCACCGAGGACTCTGGGCAGATGGGCCCTGGGGGCGGAGAGCTGGATTTTCAGGGCTCTCCGTGAGGTGATGTGGGGAGAAGAGGGGAGAGTGGTAGGAGGGTCAGATGGAAAGGGAGGAATGAGAGCGTGGGGCTGGAGGGAGGCGGGGAGTCAGGAGGTGGGGAGGGAGGCACTCACCATGCAGGTAGGGGTAGACTGTGACAGGCCCCGATCGGGCACTGCCCACCTGGTACCAGCTGTAGTCGGCATGCTGCACCCAGGCGCTGGGGGTGCAGTGGTATATGCCTTCGTCCTCGGGCCCCAAGCTGTGCAGTCTCAGCCGATGGCTCCGGGGCCCCACCAGCTCCACACTCACAGGGCCTCCTCCGGGTCGGACCCCCAGCTTTGCCACACCATCCTGGCCCATGCCACCCACCAGCTGGGCAGGGGCGGAGCTCAGCTCCGGGTCCTCGGGTCGCTCCACCCACCAGCTGGTGGCCAGCCGCAGCCCTGCGGGGCCACCGCGCACGGAGATGTTGCAGAGCAGGGAGGCCGTCTCCCCGCGGTACACCGCGCCTCCTGCCAGCCACGCCACCGCCTCCAGCACCACGCCTGCACAATAGAGACCAGGGCAGCAGAGGGTCAAGGGTCGGGGGCATGCGGCCAGGACCGCTGTCCAAGCAACACCCCAGGGAATTCAAGGTGTCCCCACAATCTTACAGGAGGAGTGTGAGACTAAGGCCTGGAGGCAGCTGAGGAAGGGAGAGAGGCCTGGGAACAGAAGGAAAAGGGATCTACAAGCCCAACTCGCCCCTCTTACCTTCCTCTCGCACGTGCACGGGGAGGGGCCGGGAGCGGGCACTGGCTGCTTCACGAAGCCGGACCCCAGACCCTCGGACATAGGCCTTGGCGAGGCAGCGGTAGGTGCCCGAGTCGCC